ATCTCAGATCATTAAGACCACTTCTAACCCAATTTCCTTTTCAGGTACCTCTAGAAGAACCCTTCCACGATGTGGGCAACTGGGAAGTGATAACTGCCCTCATAACTCTAACAGCACTCAAGACCACTGCATTCATAATCAATATCCTTCTTCAATTCCTACTATTCTTTCTACCTCGACGTTCAACAACAAACTTCCTCTTTCGGTTTCCTCATCACGTGTCACCATGGCCAACGATTCTAGTGCGCGAAACGCTATCCCAGGTCTACCAAAAACCTCGCTCCAAACTACACATTGGAGCCTTCAACGTACGTACCCTATGCCAAATCGGTCAACAGGCCTCCTTAGCTAAAACCTTAGAGTCGCGTACCATTGATGTATGCTGTGTCTCCGAAACACGTATACAGGATCCCAGTGTGGTCATTCACTTGACCTCACCTCGCCAAAATGGACAGCCAACGAAATACACCTTCCGTGTATCTGGCGAACCGTTGGCCAGTTCTCGTGGACTTGCAGGTGTCGGCATAGCACTAAGTACAAGGGCAGAACAGGCACTATTAGAATGAATCCCCGTTAACAGTCGCCTGTGTGCTGTCCGGCTAAATGGCTCCATAAGAACTCGGAAGGATAGGGACACACGTCGTTGCCTTTTCGTCGTTTATGCCTACACTCCCACTGACTGCAGCCATGATGAAGTGAAAGATGACTTTTACCCTTATCTACTCTCAATCCAAACGTTTAGAACGATGGGCGGAACACTATAAAGAGCAATTTAGCTGGCCTTCAGCTACTGCACAACTACTCACTATTCCCAGAAAACCTGAATGGAACATTGAAGTAGGCCCCCCGACCCTACTTGAAGTTCAAAAGGCTATAGGTAATCTGAAACGAGGAAGAGCAGCTGGTCCTGGTGGATTGGCTCCAGAGGTTTTTAAATACGGTGGTCCAATTTTAGCGATTAGGTTGACTAATATTCTGGCTAAAATCTGGGAGACAGATGTAATCCCATCCGACTGGTCACAATCACTGATTGTCCCAATATATAAAAAGGTGTCAAAATCATCCTGTGATAACCATAGAGGGATTAGTCTGACTAACATAGCATCTAAAACACTAGCCTCAATAATTATCAGGCGCCTCACTAAAACTCGTGATCTGCAAACACGAGAAAATTAGGCTGACTTCAGACCTGGTCGTGGCTGTATCGACCACATATTCACCATTCGTCAAGTTTTAGAGCACAGACATGCTTATCGGCGGCAGACAATTATAGTTTTTCTTGACTTGAAAGCAGCATTTGACTCTGTAGACCGAGAGGTTCTGTGGTAGTGTCTGTCATTGAAAGGTGTACCTGAGAAGTACATAAACCTTGTAAAGGCTCTTTACTCGAACACTATCAGTCGAGTGAGAGCTTATGGCGAACTGTCATATGATTTTACAACCTCAAGTGGTGTCCGTCAAGGCTGTCCACTATCCCCATTTTTGTTTAACTTCATTATAGACCTGTTGCTGGAAATAACACTCTCGTCGACTGAATCTACAGGAATTGATTTCCTACCAGGAGGTTCACTTATCGACTTAGAATACGCAGATGACATAGTCCTGTTTGGTGAAGACGCTGACAAAATGCAGAGTCTTCTGTTGGAACTCAGTAATAATGTCAGGATGTTTGGGATGCGTTTCTCCCCATCCAAATGTAAATTGTTACTCCAGGACTAGCCTGCGTCAACACCCGAACTAAGGATAGGGAGTGAAGTAGTCGAACGCGTGGACAACTTCACTTATCTTGGAAGTCTGATGAGCTCTAATGGGTTGGTGTCTGACGAAATCTCAGCACGGATTCAAAAAGCTCGTTTGGCTTTTGTCAGGCTACGTCACCTATGGAGTAGACGAGATATCCGTCTATCAATTAAGGGACGAGTATACTGCGCATCAGTTCGCTCTGTTCTACTTTACGGCTGCGAAACATGGCCATTAAGAGCGGGAGATACTCGTAGGTTGCTAGTATTTGACCACAGATGCCTTAGAAATATTGCTCGCATTAGCTGGGATAACCGGGTAAGTAATAGTGAGGTTAGACACAGGGTATTAGGGAACGATGGTAAATCAGTTGTTGAGGTGATGAATCTTTATCGACAGAGATGGTTGGGCCACGTGTTGTAACGTATGCCTAAACACCGATTACCACGACGCGCAATGTTGACTAGTGTTGGGGATGGTTGGAAGAGAGTTAGGGGCGGCCAAACCGAAACATGGCACCAGTGTTTGAAGTCACTAACTTCTAGTCTGAGCCATGTTAGCAGATGCAGACTACTTGGTTGGGGTCCGCGTGACTATCGTAACCAATGGTTGGAGACTCTGGGTGACATGGCTCAGAATCGATAACCATGGCGTAGGTGTATACACTCTTTATCTTCCCTTAAATCTTGAGACTAAAATTGCTTCATATCTCTCTTCCTTCGTGTACTATATCCTTATATACAACCTTTCTTTTTATACTACCACCACTAAATTAATTACTTCTATGAATCCGGTGTTCATCTTGTTGTGATAACGAGGTATGGCAACTTGGACCGATGCATATATGTGCCTGGTCCTACGTTGTCGCTGACTGACTGACTCAACGAGTTACTGTCTCACAACAGACCTGGTTGAACTCCACTGGTCACTAGAAATCTGCCAACGAGTTTCACATCAAAAAGAAATCATTCTAGTTGCGTAATAAAACAAAGTCCAGACAATTTTGGAGCAAATATCTTATTGATATGATCACATAATGATCAATGAAAAATACCATTATCACCCACCAATCATCTTGATTGGTTCAATATTGCTTAGATAACGACCTGTATTGACATCTTTATTCCTTCCAAGCAAGAGCTTTTTCAAATATATTCAAAGTTGGAATGTTTTATCCATCCTCATTATCATATCAATCTAACCGGATTGCCAGGTATATTTATAAGCACAGTAGGAGTCAACATAAAGAAGACTCCAAATCGGTAGCACTATCTTTTCTTGCGTCATTCATGTAGCCGCAGCTTTTTATATGCTACGTGTGAAAGACAGCTTCATCTCGAAATACACACCTAAATTTATTTCCCTTAGTCGTTGATCTTCTCTGATTGACACGTTTATTATTTTATTTTATTTAAACACATAAACATTGGTACAAGGAAGCACTAGATAGATATGCACCTCACAAATCAAATGAGATTTGTGTAAGGGCTGCGATACTACCCAGATGCTAAAACTGAAGCAGGTGGTATTCTTAGGGGGCCACACCCCGAACCTTTGACCTAAAGGTCTAACAAACAAGGCAGTGGAGCATCGTGGGGAGATGCAGTCCCATGGTAGCCATTGGCCAACAATTGGTTCACAAGCAATTTGTTCCCTCAGGATACTGGAGCCAGCCCATGTGCACAATTGGTTTGGAATCAGGGATTTCCAACTACCCTAGGTGGACTCGCCGTGTCCACCGACCCGGTTAAAGCTCCATGCATTCGCTTTTCGTCCTCTCAATTTCGTAAACAACACTCCTGCCACGAGAAGGCAGTGAGTGGCAGAGGCTATATACGCGTGACCATGTGAGAGCATTTCGAGAGGGAAAAAGACTCCCCACTCTCAGCAGTACCAGGACATTTGGGGGCATGTATCTCATGTTTTCTCATTTATAGTACACATCATAGTTTACATTAGTAAGATATTAGGCACATATCTGTACCAACAACAGATGGATTAACAACTAAAATGAGTACTACTTCCAGTGCTTCATATTCTACTGAGCTTCAGAAATATCAGGAATCATCAATACTGACACTATTAATTCACTTTTGAAGCGTACAAGACGCCTCACTAACTCTTAGACGTTATCAGATATGGCTCAGAATAGAAGCCAGTGGCGATCCTGCTGCAACCTTCTTTTACTTTCTACATAAAGAATGGTTCTAACTTTCCTAACTGAAAGAGTCTTCTGGTTGTACATTTCAGTCCGCCTTATCTTTTCATCCCTTCTCTTCCAATTTTCATTATTTTGTGTGGCGCATATGTATCTGGTGCCCTTTTGTACCAATATATATGTGTTTAAATAAATAAATAAAGACAGTTGAAGAATGAATACTTTAGAAAAACTAGATCAATATTTCTTTAATTAGTAACTATTATCGATTGAATCCATTAAGTCAAATATCAATTGGCTTTGAAACAGACAATGAAAGAATCAACTGGGATGGATTACCTAGATGGGATAGAGTTCAATGAAGAATCCTGATGGATGACCTATGCACCTCCTCCATGAGGAGTAACAAGTATAAGTAAGTAAGTAAGTAAGTAAGTATAAATTACCAATCATTAATTACAAAAATCAATCAACCATTTGATCAACAGATCAAATGTTTGGCATGAAAAATTGTAACCGTAAAAATGAGCAAAATTACAGTGGATATTTTGTTCAAATGAAACAATGATCAATGTCATTATGAAGTAAGAAATAACTTTCTAAAAAATAATTTATACACAATTTGAAATCAACATTCAACTCAAAGTCGGTGGGTGATGAGAGGATTTAACTGACAATAACTGTGGATCATCTTCTTGTTACACACTGAAGATCATTTCTTAAGAATGATGGCAACTCAAACTGATGTATGTACGTACGTACGTACGAAGTTCTACGTTGTGACTGAATCAAGAATGATCAATCAGATGAAATTCTCGGTTAAGTTCAAAATAATCATAAGATGGGATTCAAAATAAAAATAAAAAACATTTGATGAACAGGTAAAATAGCTACATTCTCAAAGTAAGAAGAACTTAGAGGAGATAGATTAAAACACTGAAATGTAGAGAAACAAACATGATTGTATTTGGACAAGAAAGAATTCAATGATCCAGCTCAATGAAATGAACCAAGGATACAAAAGGCAATATGACGATGAGTAGTGAATGGTATATATATGTATGGGTACAAAAACAAACAAACAAACAAAAAACGACACCTACTATTTGGTTGCCATGACCAGTGAAGTTAAATCAGTGGGTGGTTTCAAATGAATATTTCGTTGTCTAGTTAAGAAGGATAAATTATTTTCTTTATTACATGATATACTACTTAATTTTTCAGGAGAACCATCATAATTTTGTTTTAGATTAGATTCAATTTTATTTTTAGTTGATTTAATTACTAAATTATACCATGCAGCTAGAAGGATTCGTTCTTCCGCTTCACGATGACGTCTCATTTGTTCATGATGAGTCTATAAATATGAAAAAACAGAAAACACACAATTCAGAAATGTGCACAAAACAAGAAGCTGAAACAAATAAAGCAATGGGTCAGTCGATCAGTCAGCTACAACGTAGGACCAGGCAAATTTATGCATCGGTCTAAGTTGCCTTACCTCATTAGCACAACACGATGAACACCGGATTCATAGAAATAGTTAATTTAGTGGTGATAGTATATAAAAGATAGGTTGTATATAAGAATATAGTATAGGATGGTATTAACAGAAAAGCTCATTTACGAGAACAATCTAATTAGTTATCGTTTCCCGACCGTTGCTGCTACCTTGACGTGGTGGTCAGGCTTGCCTATCGTGATATGGGCCAATCGAGCTATACTGGCTGGAACAATCACTCCTCAAGGTCCTACTATGCCAGGCAGGTCGGTTGAAAAGCGGTAAGACAAAAAGCCGCAAACCCAAGGCCCGAAGGCGAAGTCGTACTGCTGACAGTACAGAGGTGTGAAGGCAGTAAGATGTTTCTCTCAGACAACATGAGTAACAGCGATTCTGCCTTCCCACAAGATGTGTAGCTCAAAAAGGTCGACCCTAGAAATGCACATCTTGCCTTATCCTACAAATATCCGTCTCCAGCTGTAAGGTTTCAACAAACACGAAAATTACGCGCAAAAATCCTGTGTGTGACCGACCTCAAGCAGTTGTCTCTTGGGCACTGCGGTCACGATCTCAGATCATTAAGACCACTTCTAACCCAATTTCCTTTTCAGGTACCTCTAGAAGAACCCTTCCACGATGTGGGCAACCGGGAAGTGATAACTGCCATCATAACTCTAACAGCACTCAAGACCACTGCATTCATAATCAATATCCTTCTTCAATTCCTACTATTCTTTCTACCTCGACGTTCAACAACAAACTCCCTCTTTCGGTTTCCTCATCACGTGTAACCATGGCCAACGATTCTCGTGGGCGAAACACTGTCCCAGGTCTACTAAAACCTCGCTCCAAACTACACATTGGAACCTTCAACGTACATACCCAAAAAATGAAGCAGTGAACAATCAACACAAGCAGTTTATAACATCCAGTTTTGTCATATCTATTGGAAGTCTTCCAGAACACCTCAAACAACTATAAATCGTTGAAAATACTTTATTTGAACAAGATTCAATAGAAATATACCAAAATAAACGATAGCTCGCGTTATACATTTGGAACCGCAAATATTTATGTTTTCGGAACTCAACTAACCTCGGAAGTAAAGCCTTTTTTCCCATGTAAGGGTTTAAATAAAAGAAAGTATGAAAAGATTAGTCAGTCAGTCAGCGACAACGTAGGACCAGGCACATATATGCATCTGTCCAAGTTGCCATACCTCGTTAGCACAACAAGATGAACACAGAATTCATAGAAGTAGTTCATTTAATGGTGATAATATATAAAAGAAAGATTGTATATAAGGATGTAGTATAGGAAAGAAGACAGATATGAAGCAATTTGAATCTCAAGGTTTAAGGGAAGACAGAAAGTGTATGCACCTAAGCCATTGTGATCGATTCTGAGCCATGTCACCCAGAGTCTCCAACCACTAGTTATGATAGTTACGCGGACCAAGTAGTCTGCATCTGCTAACATGGCTCAGACTATAAGTTAGTGACTTCAAGCACTGATGACAAGTTTTGATTTGGTCACTCCTAACTTTCTTCCAACCATCCCCAATATTAGTCAGCATAGCGCGTCGTGGTAATCGGTGTTCAGGCATACGTAACACGTGGCCCAACCACATCATATTGAATATACATCTTTCAGTATAAATAACTAGTAATATAAATCATTCACTGAATTGGAAACGGATGAAAATGAAAATACGATGCATTGAACATAGTTACATATGGAAACGTTTGCAATGAATTGATGCATAAACGGATGACAAAGTGAAGATACACAACAATCTAACATAATAAAACAAATATTTGTCGATCAAGATGAAGAGTTTGAAGATGTCAAATGCGCCGAACTGGATGGTTTCATTATACTCCCAAACAATATCACCAACACATACTTCCACAAAATCCCTTCAGAGAGACGATTTTTACAATCCGTAGACTAAGTTGAATTCGAATCCCACATGAAGTATTAGTTAGCATTATTGCCAACTAACAAAATTAATCATCACGTCAGCAGCATGAAGATATTGAATGAAATATTGTCAATGTGTTAGAACACACATTGTTCAAACTAAGCATTACTAACATGCTATTAGCATACAGGATGCTAACAATCCTACGCAAATAATGGCTGCCAAAAGCCATGTTTAACAAACATAAGGCAGATCTGAAGGGGTTTTGTGGAGATTTAGTATGTTTCATAGTTGAAAGCATGAGTCAATTGAAGCTAGACCACCATTGAAAACCTGGAAGCACTGGACGGCCGTTTCGTCCTATTATGGGACTCCTCAGCAGTGCGCATCCACGAAGTTAGACATTAACACCGTTGGATGCCAGCTCAGTGGTTTGTCGGTTAAGGTCTCTGGCTCGAGACTGCTAGGTCCTGGGTTCCAATCGCGCGAGCGCGGGTTCGTGGATGCGCACTGTTGAGTCCCATAATAGGATGGAACGGCCGTCCAGTGCTTCCAGGTTTTCGATGGTGGTCTAGCTTCAATTGACTCATGCTTTCAACTATAAGGCAGATCTGTTTTCACCGGCGCTTTGTTAGCTCAACGTTTTATGAGAGGACTAACATTGCAACGGTGCCAAAGATGAATCAAATTAGAACCTCTCTAACCCTTACATAACTAATCAGGTACATGAAAGATATTCACAAAAAAACTGAATGCAGACACAAGCACCTGCTAGTTTTGCAGAACTACCTAATACTCATATACAAATTGATTTGGTTTTGGCGGGAACAACAAATAAGCTAAACCCATATATGAACAGTAAACCACATTACTTACCTCTAATTTCTCAATAACACGTTCTTTTTCAACTAATAATGCACGTAAATGATTAATCTCTTCATTAAGCTTATCATTACTTATATTACTGTTAGTAGTATCAGTACTGTTGTGTGTATCAATCATTAGTTTCTCTTTATATTGTGGACAATCATGTTGATGTTGTCGATATTGACGTTCTAATAATCGAATCACTTCACGTGCTTTCCATAAATAACCACGATATTTTTGTTCCATTTCAATGAAATCTGCTTCTTTCTGTGCTAACTTTGTCATTAAATTTGTATATAACATTGTAGTAGTAGTAGTAGTAGCAGCAGCAGGTGAACTGGACATATCTTTATCCACAGGAATATGATAAGAATTTATGGATGACGTTTGTACAATATGTGTACTAGAAGAGTCATTATCATTGACAGGTAATGAATTACAATCATTGCAAACATCATCAGTATTCAGTTTCTGTTGTGATGTTAAAGACATACTGAAACGATGAAAATCATTATCATCAACAAAACCAGTGTCATTGTCTAATTTACCAGCAGTAGTAGTATTAGCAGTACTCATAGTAGTGATATCACCGCCAACTTCGTTCATACGGTTACTATTACTCACATCACTAACATACATTGATGTACGTAAACGACATAGTTCTTCTTGTAAATTTAACATTTGTGATTCTATTGCTGATGTACCATCTAGCAAACAAATAGCGGAGAATAGATTACTTAAAATTATAGTGAATATCATGAACAAAGAAAAACGCATATGAACCTTAAAAGAAATATCAATATGTAAAGAAACAAAAGAGAGAATGAGTGTAGTAAAATCAGTCCGTAACTGAACAGTTTGTCTAAAGTTTCAGCTCAGTCAGAAATATGGCAAAAGAATAAACAACCCGTAATGCTCTGGTACGGCCAAGAGTGGGGAGAGTCCGTTCCCACTCTCGAAATGCTCTAGCATGGCCACGCATATACAGCCTCTACCAGGGAAGTCCTACTCACTGCCGTCTCCTCCCTAAGGTATTGTTTATGAAGTTGAGAGCACGAAAAGCGAATGTCTGACGCTTTAATCCGGTTGGTGGACACGGAAAGTTCATCTAGGGGAGTTGGAAAACCCTCATTCCAAACCAATGGTGCATATCAGCTCCAGTAACCTCAGGGAACAAATGGCGTATGAATCAATCACTGGCTACCATGGGACTGCATCTCTTCACGATTCTCCACTGCCTTGTGGATCAGATCTTTATGTCAAAGGCTCCGGGCGCGACCCCCTAGGAAAACAACCTGCTTCAATTTGTGCACCTGGATAGTATGACAGCCCTCACACAAATCAAATGAGATTTGTGCGGCGCATATATATAGGGTGCTTCCTTGTAGCAATATTCATGTGTTCAAATAAATAAATAAATTCAAGTCATTGAAAACAGACATCATTCAACGGTATGCGCAACCGAAAAGTGACGACCGCCTATATAACTCCTGATCACCAGACATAAAAATGTATGGAAATGAATGGGACCTTCATTCACGAAATACTCATCGATAAGTAGGATATCATTTTAGAATCAAAAAGTTAATTAGGAAGTTAATTCCACACGCTAAACTTACAATTTGTTGTTTGTGCACATGATTGAAGACCTTCACAACAAGATTTAAGACGTGTAAGTTCAGAGAAGATACACTGAAAAATAATGGAGAAATAGTAATGAAACTGTGTTAAAGTATCAATATGTTTAATATTGAAACTGCCAACATTGTAAAAAACTAAAAATCGGGCCAAGTTACATGTGGAAATATCCCGAAAGCTAAAAATAGTTAGTTATATTTAAAGTATAGGAAGTGCTCTGCCTCGAGACTGCTAGGTCCTGGGTTCGAATCTCGCGAGCGCGGGTTCGTGGATGCGCACTGCTGAGGAGTCCCACAATAGGACGGAACGGCCGTCAAACAGTGCTTCCAGGTTTTCCACGGTGGTCTAGCTTCAATTGACTCATGATTTCAACTATGAAATTATAGGAAATGATTGTGGATATTTAATTCATTCTGTCAAAGTAGTGTGTTATATTTACTTAACTATGAGCTTCATATGAAGGATTCGTAAAACGAATGAACTGCTCAAATTGAAGTAAATGTAATATGGTTCAAAATAGAAACATAAGTTTTGAAAAAACCTAGTGATTTATGTATTAAGGACTACTATGAAAAGTGACTTATTCATTGTTCAAGCAAGACTACCAACATCAAACGCATATTAAATTCAATTAGTATTGTTTGTTTGAATCTTCTCATTGATGTTTAGGACTGCAACTGGTCAGCCTCTAATTGGTATATGTGCATACTGTGCATATTGCCTCGATATAGACTTAATTCACAAGCATTATAAGCATAGATGGATAGTGGCTAACAGTGGAATTCAGGACACAAGTTTCGTCCTATTTGGAACTCGTCAGCTGGATGTACTGGATTCCAGTCCCAGAGTGAACATCAACAAACCTGAGATGCAGGTACATCCAGCTGACGAGTCGCAAATAGGACGAAACGCGAGTCCTGGATTCCACTGCTAGCAATTATCCATCATACGCATATTGTTATCAACTATTATACCGAACTAATAAGAATTAAAATAATGGCTATTAGGTTTTTGCACGAAATTTGGCGACGTGGTGACGGATAACTTGTACCCTGTTAATAGTTAAGTAAAATATAAAAATATCTAGTTACTGAAACGTTTAAAACTGATAAATATGACAGAATTACGCAAAAGGTTACTGTGAAATTACGTTTGTGACTTCTAATACTGATATGTAATCCACAAGGCCGTGCATCAACGTTGAAAGAGATGCAGTCCCTCGGTAGCCAACGACCAATAATAGGTTCATACGTCGTTTTGTTCTCTCAGGATCCTGGGACTTATGTGCACCATTTCTTTGGAATCAAGGTTTTCCAACTCCCCTAGGTGGACACTCCACATCCGCGAACCCGGTTAATGCGCCCGACATTCGCATTTCGTCCTCTCAATTTTGTGAACAACACCCCCGCCACGAGAAGGCAGTGAGTAGGACTTCTCTGATAGAGTATATATACACATGACCATGTGAGAGAAATTGTAAAAGGAGAACGGACTCTCCCCACTCTCGGCCGAACCAGGGCATTTGGGGGCACCGACATCCTATGGGGTACATACTAGGACGAAACACCAGTTCGCAACCCTATATGTACTGATTATATCAAAAATATTTTGACAATTATCAAGAAGTATTCAATAATATCTACAATATATCAAATGCTTTATCAGAATGAAATAGAAAAACCTTACATACATACCTCTTTTTCACGATTTACATTCATTAATTCTTGTCGAATCTTCAATAAATTTTCTTCAGCTAATTCAGCACGTTTTATTGCTTCATTTGCCAAGAATTGTGCATCTTCCACTTGTAAACGTGCTTGAGCTTTTACTTTTGATCGTATATTCCCATCTAAACGTGTTTCTTGTTCTAATTCACTTAAACGTTGTATACAAATTTGATTATCATTTTCTAATTGTGTACAACGTAAACGTAAACTAATTGCTTCATCAGCATGTTTACGTAATTGTTCAATAGTTGTAGTTAAACGTAATACATTAGATGCTTCTTCACGAGCAATATCTAATTCATCTTTTAAATGAATACTTTCTTCTGCTTTTGCAGTTAAAATAGTACACTAAAAGTGGTAGAAACATAGAGAGAGAGAGAGGACACAACAACAAGAAGACAGTTGAATAGAGCATACATGTGTATGATAAACATTTAAACACATTAATGTTTCGTTGTAAGGTGTTAATTTAAATCATCTACCCAGTGTTTGTGTATATCGGTTTGCTGAAGTTGTTGAGTTCTACAGTTTACAACACGAATTGATCATAGCTAGATAATCATTGAAAACAAGGAACCACTGAATAGTTGTTTTATCTTAGTATAAAACATCTCAATGTTAGTAAACATACATGACCTCAGTAAGGATTCAACCTAGCATCTTCATAATTAGCACACTTGTTGAGGTTTAATGACTACCTTACAAAGGATCCATCCATTCCATATGATAGCTAACTTTTAGACATCCTACAGTTGCATGTATATGTGTCCAGGTTTATTTATACGATCACTGAGTGAACAAATCGAAGTATCTAGAGCGATATTGTGAAACCTAGAATCTGATGATTGAAAATCGAACCATTTAAGTATTAAACTACAACTTTCTACTATGAGCAATCATGACACTACCGATACTTAGGAAGTTTATGATAATTCGCGTGAATGAAGAGGACATTATACACTGTCTAGTATAGAATGCAACAACAGACTAGTGGATCCAACAAACATATATGTGATACACCAGCAGAGAAGCATACTAACTTCCCAGCACTTCAAATCCTTAAAAGAATTGCGAAACAATGCCGATATTATTATACTTAAACCCGATAAAGGATCTGGTGTTGTAATTATGAATAGGTCCGATTACATAGATAAAATGGAATTGATTCTCAGTGATAAGAGCAAATTCATGGCTGATGTTGACTCTGATGGATTACATAAATTAGAAAAGAAAGTAAACTCGAATTTAACAAAATTGTTAAACATGAACACTATTGACAAAGATGAGTTTCATTTATTAAAACCTATGGGTTCGGTGTATCCTCATTTATATGGATTGCCAAAAATACATAAGCCTAATATCCCTTTACGTCCAATTCTATCAATGTGTCAGTCACCTACACACAAACTCGCGAAATGGCTTACAAAAGTATTAAATCCTATCCGACATCAATTTTGTAAGTGTTCCTTGATTGACTCATTTGATTTAATTAAATACTTAAAGGATATGAATATAAAAACAAAGACAATGTGTTCTTTTGATGTGAATACTTTATTTACAAATGTACCCCTGAGAAAAACGTTTGATATTTTATGTGACTATATTTCACTTAATAATCTTCCATTGCCATTTCCTGTTGAAACTCTTAAAGATCTATTATTATTGTGCACTGACAATATAAAATTCACATTTCAAGGTGAGCACTTTCGACAAATTGATGGCGTAGCTATGGGTAGTCCTTTAGGACCGTTGCTGGAGGATGTGTTCATGGGGTATGTTGAAAATTTAGCTGAAAACTCAATCCAAAAGATGTGTCTGTATAGACGATACGTTGATGATATCATAATCATAAGGGATAAATGTGAAGACGTGAACCACTTGTTAAAAGAACTCAATACAAGTCAGAAGCATATTTCTCTTACGTGCGAAGAAGAGAAGAACAACCAACTTCCTTTTCTAGATATACTGATCAGTAGAAGAGAAAATGGTTCCATCCAACGTTCTATATATAGAAAGCCGACATGGACGGGGCAATACCTTAATTTCCATAGTCACTGCCCAATTCATTACAAACGTGGGTTAATTAAGGGCTTATTCAATAGAATCAATCGTATTTGTACTAGTGATACTATTGAAATAGAAACGAAGCTTCTAACTAATACGTTAATGAATAACGGTTATTCATTTAAGTTCATAAACCGCTGGAAGGGTTGCAATACGATTAGACCTATTACGCTTCTGGCACCCAAAAAGCGAGTTTATATTACATTACCATTTAGAAGTGACTCTAATAGTCTCATGTTAAGACGGAGACTAAAATTAGCCATAAATAGGACATTCTATGCAGCTCAACTTGTCATCACTGAAAAGACAAGGTCGATGTTTCACCAAAAACTTAGACAGCATATAAGCGATTGTGTCACATCCCATTGTGTATACCAATTTACACGTATATGCAGAAACACGTACATAGGGAGGAGCAATCGTGATTTGCAAATAAGTGTGGCGGAACACATACCTAAATGGTTACAGAACCAAATGAATTCGAATAGTCAAATAAGATCACAGGATAGACAAACATCTTCCTCTATTGCGAAACATTTAGTTGAAACTGGTCATAAGGTTGACATCAAATCAGCATTTGTAGTGTTGTACAAAAGCCTTCAAGGACGTATACTAAGGTTTATTGAAGCCTTGGCTATACGGAAATTGAAACCCCCTTTATGTGTTCAAAAACAATTTGTTCTTACCCTTAACCTACCCTGGTAATGCTTATTTATTATCCAGAGTAGTCATCACTTTGTTTTTGTGTACTTTATTTATTTTCTTACCTTAACCTGTCTAAATTCAACTTAGTATTGTTTGTTTGAATCTTCCCATCGATTTGTTAGGACTGCAACTGGTCAGTCTCTAATTCGAGTCCCAGAGTGAACATCAACTCTGAGATGCAGGTACATCCAGCTGACGACTTAACCTGTCTAGTTGACCTTTTAATTTTCATATAAAAAAAATGTCTTAACAAGTATATTGTGTGTGATCAGATTGTTCGAAATGTATTTCGCTAATATATCACATAATTCTGATAAACTTCGTCTTCTCATTGCATTATCGAAAGATACACCAATCGCTTTATTTTCTCTTTCGGTTAGAAAACAATTAAAAATAGGACAAGATTGCACCTTGTGTTAATCCAACTTGAAAGTTAGTAAACTACATAAACACATACGCAATACTAAACCGTTCGAATCAGTCAGCTATCAACACTGATAACATGAGTTATAAATACGAACTCACTATCATGTCTATCTTTATCTTCTTGATACCAGGTGACCGGGATTCATATTCTATTTCGAGTTTTCATGCTGTCTAACATTAGTATTTAAAAGAATTCAACAAGTTTATAATGCTAACAATTATCAACCTTCGGTAAACATTCAATAAAAACAAGAAAACTGTAAAAGACGGTTTCGTCCTAACAAAACACTCCTCAATGACAGTCGATCAGAACATCACACAAACTCACCCAAGTAAAACTAGCAGTCGAGATTAATGATTTTGAGATTTAGTGATACCGAATGCTGATTAATCACGTCAAATTAGTTCATTTGTTTAAATTCAATATAAAAAAATTTGTATATTGATCACTATTATTTGCTTACTTTTTGTTTTAATTCCTGATTTTGTAAAGTGACTTCAGTGAGTTGGATTTTTAATTCTTCTTTATCTAAATCATGATTTTGTGAAACAGAAAAAAAAAAGACGTAAAAGATAGAGCAAAAAGAAAACAGCGATTAATTGAGTGTCATGATCAATGAATAGCATGCTTGATAAAAATAATTTATATCTTATTACAGCAAAGTTGTGTTTCTTTAACTGGATGGTTTAATCATAGATCAGTCGGTGGTAGACCGGATCCGCTTCAGGGGACGGAAACTCAGGAGAGGAAAATAAATTTATTCCATCTTATGTATTATTACACAAACTCAAACAGTAGTTTTGTAAACTGTGAAGATCTGGCATTAAATACATTATTTGCATATCTTCCTTCACTTGTCCCCTTTACATATTCCATCATTCTTTCAAACCACTGTTACTCCCATTACCTGCCCTCAAATGCCGTGGTACGGTCGAGAGTGGAGAGAGTCCGCTCTCCCTCTACAAATGCTCTCACATGGTCAGGCGTATATAGCCTCTGTCAGGGAAGTCCTACTCAATGCCTTCTTGTGGCATCACTGTTGTTGACAAAATTGAGAGGACGAAAAGCGAATGCCCGGCGCTTTAACCGGGTTGGCGGACGCGGAAAGACTACCTAGGGGAGTTGGAAAACCCTGATTACAAACCAATGGTGCACATGGGCTGGCTCCAGTATCCTGAGGAGTTTAATGCTACGACGAAACAGCTGTTCAGAACTTCTGAGCTTCCTATAGTCATTTAACATAGTTCGGTTTATGAATTCAGTCATTATCACCATAAAATTTAAATATATTTCAGATGGATGAATTTCATTACAATCGACTGCAAGCACCTTGTTTTGACATTACTACCTTCGACAGAATGTCACTGTTTTCGATCACTGTTCTGTCATTGTACACACATTTCATTTTGATTATCTTCTTTATTTGACCTGATTCTTAGTTTTACAGTTGCTTACGATTTGACTAAACATTCTTTTACAAACGTAAACCGCAAGAAACATTAAAGTGAAAAGTTGACAGGACAAACAAACAATAAAACAAACTGTTTGCCACATCCGAAGAGATTTCAATAGTTCACTGCCATATGAAGATTGTGTTGATGGTGATGATTTCGTCAGAAAAGATAATGAAGACTTCACGATTAAACTATCCAGCTAGCTGAATACAACTCTAATAAAATCATCTACATGAGCTATAAATCATATACTTCATTTCAATGAATTATTCTTAATATAAATTGTATTGTGGTATGCACTACTTATATGAACAATAGTAGTATGTGAAAGGAATTGGAAATGAAATGCTTATCAATGGAAGATTGGAATAAAGAAACGGGGAGAGAAAGCAGAAGGCAATCGGAATAACAACTGGTTTGAAAGAATGATAGAATATGTAAAGGAAAAGTGAAGGAAGATATGCAAATAATGTATTTAATGCAAGATTTTCACATTTTACAAAGCTACTGTTTGAGTTTGAGTAAGACTACATAAGAAGGAATAAATTGGTTTTCCTTACCTGAGTTTACGTTTACCATAGTACAAGTAGAAGAAAACATAGGTTAAACAACCCTTGGGAAATAGGATATATCAGACAACTGTCTGATCTTAGTATAGCATTTGTTAGAAGTTAGTGTTCACAATCTTCCCGAAGACCTAAAGCTTACATAACGAGAACTTAAATTCGACAATTCTCACAAATCGCCATTCTAAACATTCTCAAAAAACGATAACCGTCGGACTATTTGGAGGTAAATACAACTTAATGTAAGAAACAACCAAACTCGTTTATTGATACTATGAATTCAGTTAAAGGCATTTAATCTCAGGTCTTCACTGCAGCTAAAAACAGACAACAGCTGTGTCGCAAAATGACGAACGGTGAAAATGAAAACCACCGCATACAAAAGCGTAAGTTTCAAGGTTCACCACTTCCAATCCGTCGAGAACTGAAGTTTCTGGGTTCAATCTCCAATGTTATTGTAAATGTAAACTCACGTGGAGCAGTCGAAAAATAAGATAAGACAGCCTTCTAATGCATTATAGTTTTCAGTGGTTATTTCCAACAAAAGTCATACTATGATGAAAAACTATAAAATTCCACAATCATTAAAATCTCCTTCACACTAATCATTAATTACGATTACTCAAACTAGCTTTGAGATGGATTTCCTGGAGTTCCAATGGATAGCTGTGATCAGTGGAGTGTTTGATGTGAGTCAGGTACTCACTGACAAAATGGTGGACGGTCGCGCGATACCATGCATTGGTTGAAGATAAACATTAACAACGTTGGATGCTGGCTCAGCGGTTTGGAGTCTAAGCGTTTGCGTGTGAAATCGATGGTCCTGGGTTTGAGTCCAGCAAGTGGGATCGTGAACGTGCACTGCTCATCAGTCCAATAACAGGACGAAACGACCATCAAGTGCTACCAGCTTTCCAACAGTGACCTAGCATTGATCCCTTCATGCTATCAATCTAAATTCAACAATCTCCACAACACTATACTTTATTTATTTATTTAAACACATAAATATTGGTACAAGAAAGCACCAGATATATATGCGATGCGCAAATCTCATTCGATTAGTGTGGGGGCTGTGATACTGACCAGGTGCTTAAACTGAAGCAGCTTGTTTTCTTAGGGGACCACAACCCGAGCCTTTCATGTAAAGGTCTAACCCACAAGGCAGTGGAGCATCGTGAGGAGATGCAGTCCCATGGTAGCCGGTGACCAACGATTTATTCATATGCTATTTGTTCCCTTAAGGATCCTGCAGCCCATGTGCACCATTGGCTTGAAATCAGGGTTTTTCAACTCCCCTAGGTGGACGCGCCGTGTCCACCTACCCGGTTAAAGCGCCGGGCATTCACTTTTCGTCCTCTCAATTTCGTGAACAACACCCCCGCCACGAGAAGGCAGTGAGTAGGACTTCCCTGACAGAGGCTATATACGTGTGACCATGTGAGAGCATTTGTAGAGGGAGAGCGTACTCTCTCCACTCTCGGCCGTACCAAAGCATTTGGGGGCACAACGCTACACCTATGATTACTAAAAGGGAAATTTAGTTATTTATATGAAACGCAAACAACTTCATAACAGAGAGCAAACAAAGGAGATAGAGAGAGTCAGAAAAACAACAAAAACGAATCTTACCACATTCAGTTCTATATAGTTCATCACGTAATTTACTTAATTGATTTTGTAAATGATTTATACGTAAATTAGCTATAGTTGGACTCATTAGTACATTATTACTACAAGGATTCGCTGAAATTGAACTACTAGCAGATTGATTTAATAATTCTGAATTGATTGAATTCAAGTTAGTTTCCATGGATTCAATTCCTGTTGTAGTTGTAACTATTGAAGATGTTGGAGAGGATTGAGGAATTATTGCTGTTGTTGTTGTTGTCGCCAATATCGCTGGATTTAAACCCAATGAATTGAAATAAATTTTAAATCGATTTAATTCAGATTGTTGATTGGACTTTTCTTCTTGTAGATTTATTACCTATTGATAGTAATAATAGTAATGGTAATAATAATAATAGTAATAATAATAATAATACGAGTAATATAAAGATGGTCAGTTGAGTGATGAAATCTTTATCGACTTTATCGCCTAGCCACCTTTTACCTCGATTCAAAATGTTGTCTGATGTTCGAGGACCCCAAATGCTTTCGTATGGTCGAGAGTTAGCTCTCCCTCTCGGAATGGTATTATATGACTATGTGTATACAACTACACCCAAGTAAGTCCTACTCACTACCTTCTCGTCCCGAGGGTGTTGTTTACGAAATTGAGAAGACGAAAAGCGAATGTCTGGTGCTTTAATAAGGTTGGTGGATAAGAAGCACCCACCTAGGGAATTAGGAGAACCATGATTACAAACCAATGGTGACCATGGGCTCCAGGACCCTGAGGAAACAAATGGCGTCTGAACCTATTATTGTTCACCGGTTATCATGGGACTGCATCTCGTAACGTTGATGCACTGTCTTTTGGATCAGACCTTGAGGTCAAAGACTCCAGGTGTGGCTCCCTAAGAAAACCACCTGCTTCGGTTTGGGCACCCAAGCAGTATCCCAACCCTCACACAAGCCGAATGATATATGTGGCGCCTCCTTGTACCAATGTTTATGTGTTTAAATAAATAGCTAAAATAAACTGAAGTTCGAGTAAGTAGGAAAAATAATAAGAATAGACAAACTATGATATGGTATCAGTCTATGAAGACAAATAATATTGATTTGAGTCGTTTAGGTAAGTGTGGGCAATGAGGATCGAGTTTAGGGGATGATTGTAATCAATGGTTGGAGATGTTGGATAACGTAGCTCCAAATCGGTTCCAATGGTGTAGAATCATTTATATGATATTTTCCTTGTAGACTTTTAGTTTTAGAACTGTCTTATACATTTTTTCGTACAAATTGATTCTTCCTTCTCCAATCATGCTGTCTATACTGGATCTTTTTTCACTAAGACTAATTCTGTTACTAATTCTGAAACTCTGAAATCGATTTTGATAATTTCATCTTGGCATAAATGATATAATATGGTAACTTGGACCCTAGTTCCCCTAGTTCTTTGTTGCTTATGGATATTAGACTGATTGATAAATATGAAACATATAGTATTTGGAGAACTTCAAAATACTAGCCGATTTGCAGAATTCAACTATAAGTATTTTCGAAGAATAGCCTCGTGTGTATTTCAACGATGGACTGAACGATGTTGGGATTATGTGGCATATGGCGTCAAATCAATACAGTGAAATCAGTAAAGCAGTTGTAGATTGTAGTGTCGGTTACTATGTTAAGCCCATATAATTAATTATTACTTCTGGACAGGCCAATTCAACCATTCTACTTGAGTCACGTTTTCATCTTGTTAATTATACGTTGATCAACCCTGACTGTTTTCATATGAGATCACGTGTGCGAACACTTCTGTCCTATTCATCACATGTCTGTAGTGTATTTTCATCTGACTATAAATACCGATTAATATTTGATTACATGGAGTTGGCTAACACGCTTTCTCCACCAAGTGTCATTTCGCTCCGCACCCTTCTCTTCGCTTCGTCCCTTGGATTGTCTGTCCAGATCAATGACTGCACAAAATATACGTACGTATTCGAAATCGTTTTCGGTATTTGACTTATTCTCATTTCGTTATTCACCAACGTGAATGAAGTCGATAAAATATACGAGGATAGACGACCTGTATATTTCATTAATCATTCAATAACGATCATTCACACGATCTAATTGGAGTCAGACACCGGGCCACAAAAAGACTTGCATGAATTGAAATTTCCAGAAAAAGTGTTAAACATGATTAGTTATTGTCTATTTTGTAAATTTATTTGTTTATTTAAACATAAACATTGGTACAACGAGGCACCAAATAGATATGCGCCACATATATCATTCGGCTTTTGTGAGGGTCGAGATACTGCTCGGGTGCCCAAATCGAAGCAAAGGGTTTCCTTAGGAAACCACTCATCAAGCCTCTGACCTAGACTTGTAATCCACAAGGCAGTGTATCAACGTTATGAGATGCAGTCCCTCGGTAGCCAATGACCAATAATAGGTTCATACGCCATTTGTTTTCTCAAGATCCTGGGACTTATTTGCACCATTGGTTTTGAGTTTAGGTTATACAATTCCTCTAAGTGGATCCTTCATATTCACAAGCCCAGTTAAAGCTCCGAACATTTTCTTTTTGTACTCTCTATTTGGTAAGCAACACCCTCGCACGAGAAGGTAGTGAGCAGGACGTCAATGACAGTGACAGTACACGGGTAGTATTTCGAAAGGGTGAGCTGATTCTCCACAATTTCGGCCGTACCAAGGCATTAAAAGACAACAATATCATGTGTCAGTACTGTTAATGTTTACAATTAAAATAGGATCAACCAATACTAGTCAACTTTTAGTAGTTCTCTATTAACAGATATTAGTTAATGGCCAAATACAAGATAATTCATAAACCACTAATGACGTAAGAATAAACACTGACTTACTTCTTCCTGAAGATTTTTACATTGTTCAGCCAATTTCTCTTTTTCTACTAGTAAAACTTTGTATTGTTCCACTGTCTTACATAACTGCAATAGATTTGAAATATATATGTAACAGTAAATGATTTTGATTAAACCATTGCTTCAACAATAATTCCAGTCAATTAATCCAATAGAATGGGTTTTGTGGAGATTTGGTATTTTTATAGTTGAAATTATGAGTCAATTGAAACTAGACCACCATGGAAAACCTGGAAGCACTGTTTGACGGCCGTTTCGTCCTATTGTGGGACTCCTCAGCAGTGCGCATCAATTGACTTATGCTCTCAACTAATCCAATAGAGTCAACTCTTAATATGCTTTTCCTTTAATCTGATTAGTCACGTATTATAGTTTATCATCACTTTTCCAGAGGTTTTTTTGAAATGCAAAGCTACTAGGATAACTTAATAAAATATAGTCGTCTGTCATTTAAACAAATATTGTATTTATAAGATTGTCTTATACAATATGACTGTTCAACAAGTCAGCAATATGCTAACTAGTGCATAAGTTAGAAATCTCAGTGGAAATTTATAACTTAAGACTACCTATATCCGAAATAAGAAAGCTTTCTCTGATGAAACAAGGCTGAGTTCAAAGTGATCCACATGTCGTAAGACCCTATTCTTGAAGGTTTGATCCCTGACAAACTAGTCAATAAGACCTGTTGAGAAGCCGCAAATGAAGGTGAAACAACATTTTAGTGCTTACAAAAGTAACTCTGAGTAGTGCTAGTAATCTTAAAATATAAGATTATCTAAGGAAGCCCAGAGCAATTGTTGATTGCTTGGTCTTTATTATTACTTGAGTTGTTTCAAACAACTGATGATTTTTATTGAAGGTAAGACATAAACGCCCATAACCCTGTCCTATTCATTCTTTCATAAAAAAATACAAGTTGTCTATTGTTATCTAACACAGTTATTTTTCCAACTCTTTTTCTTCCGCTACCAACTACTGTTCATGATTGTTGTAGAGACGTTTAGTCAGTCTACATTTAAGCTGCCTTCGCACCTCATTGTAGTTAGAATAAGACAGGAACAGCTTTTTTGAAAACTTATCAGTTTAGAAGGCACCGCTGAAACCCATTGATTTGTCCTAATCTTTCGAATATCATGTTAGACTACCTTAGGTCAAATATTACTCGAGGGATTGATTAACTGTTTCCCTAGTTTTTTTTGAGTCATTACTAAGTCTTCCTTTTGTGGCTTATCTCCATCCAGTAAGACAGATGGACACGTCCCTATAGAAGAATGGATTATAGAAGTAATGAATAATCAGTTGCAGCGCTGAATTCGACGCTAGAGCAGAACTAAGCAGCAACTATGAAATCAAATATGGAATCGAATTTATACAGTTAAAACTAAATATTACACAGTATCTTCATGGTCAAAAATCAAACAGTCCATTACACAATTAAATTTAAGATTTCCATAAGCGATAATAAATCAATATTGCACATCTTGTAGTGCACTAGTTTAATTTTCAACACTTGGTTTCTAATAACGGTTGTTCATAATCACAACATTAATCAACCAGTCACTTAGGAGCCATATATTATGACAACATATACTGATCGAATGCAGCCTTGAACATCAACAACCAGTGGATACAAATACTTTCACTAAATACTCATTGCTATATGAATTAAGTAGCTTAATGGGTAATGTATAGGTGTTTTTGAAGTGAAAGGTGTTGAGTTCAATTCTCAATGTAAACCTTAACACTGAAACACAGATACAACAACCTAACGAGTTCTAAACACGATGAGACATGCGAATAGTCAGTCATAGAACAAATGTACTCAATTTTGATACTTAAGAGTGAATTTCACAGTTAAAACAGGCATAGAAAATATTATCAATCTCTATACATATAAATCAAAGCCCAGTATTATACATTCGTGTTAGTGTTATAAGTTGTGGCCGCCTGGGTGCCCTGTTAATGTATAACGTGATAATACCGCCGATTATAGAGCAGTGATTTATCGTTCGGACCAATGACACACGAAACCCGTCTAAAGTACCTGTTGGTACTGCTTCCTGTCTAGCCCAGCTCAGCCTAGTCCAGAACACTAATCTCAGCCTCTGCGGTATGAATCATTATATTTCAAACATACAGAGTTTATACACCAATCAAATAGACCACATCGTCCATAAAATAGGTAACAACATTTGTACAAGATTTAGCCAAATATGGCTGTGAATGTGTGAGGCAGTAATTAATAGACTGGGGATAACCTAAGAATGGTAAATCATATAATAATAGTTCATAGGTCAAAACAAAGCTTATAATAAGAGCGACGCTAATATGAATAGTTTAGTTAGTATTGGTTCATAAATGGATTCCAAAGTTATCATTCATTATCCTTATAGGGTCATAACAGTTAGCTAGTCAAAATTCTAGGAATTTATATCAGTAAAACACCAAAGATTCCAATAAAGAAAAACATAATTACAACAAACTTTCAACTGGACTTACACGATCTTCATAATCCATAGTATCACTGATGCTTAAACGAGTCGACATTAACTAAATGATTATAACAAAAGAATAGAAATGTAGATGAAAAAAGCTAAATGGAGAAAGTGAAGGAATCAAATCAAGATGATCCTATTGAATTCGTCTATCCACAATAATACGAATCATAGTAATAAGTAAAGTAACAAACAGTGTCATAATTCATTGATCACTGGGTGGTGATCAATGTCATGCGTGTCAAATCCTTCTTAGTGCTGATCGAATGCTATCGATCAAGTTGTAATGTGGCCAATAGTCTCGGTGGCTCGACACTGCGTGCACTATGTTGAGATAAGATGGTAGTTGGAGGTGGTCAACAGGAAACCCTGGATCCGGGATTCGTGCTACTTGCAACTCCTCAGCAAGGTGTACCTGTTATTTTGAGGGAACTGATGCTCCCTGACGGTTTCGATCCCCTGTCACTCAGCTTCACAGTCAGAGACGTCACCACTGAGCTATTCAGGCTACCTTATTATTTATACTAAAGAATATACACTTTAATCAGTAGTATAATCAATGAAAAAGAAATGATTAAATCAATAATTTAAATAATCCTTCATAAATATATACTAAACGAAAAATAATCAAACAACCTTTAGAATTGAGAACCTGCCATCAGATGAAAAGAGAAGTAAACAATCTTAACTGACGACGATGATGATCATGGAGTGAAGAATGCATAAATAACAATCGATGGTATCTTCAACGATGCAGCACATATATGAATATATATAATTGTGGAAGTGCGTGTGTGTGTGTATGTATGTCTGTACGTCACAGAAACAAAAAGAGAACTCAAATTGTTTCTCGAAAGAAAAGAATATATTAAGGTCAGATCGATAGAATACAGAAAGTGCAGAAACCCACACATACATAAATAGAACGCAATAGAAATGCAAACACAAGACGTGGTACACGTGTTCACATACCTACTCGCGTATACACATCAGGTGACTAGGAACACACAGATGGTAAATGGGATAGACAAATACTAGAGACATGTAAATAGGAACACATAAGAACTGAATTACACACACACGAGTCCCCAAACACATGAAGCAAGTATAAGACAAGGATTATTATGACTTGAAAGGAACTATTTACCAGGAACAAATGGAACACGAAATCAGAATTTAATTCATATGATCTTCACCTGTTATTTGCAAGAAAAATTCTCCCGACCGTTGCTGCTACCTTGACGTGGTGGTCGAGCTTTCCTATCGTAATGAATCAATCGAGCCATACCTGCTTCAGTTTGGGCACCTGGGCAGTATCACAGCCTTCACACAAATCAAATGAGATTTGTGAGGCGCATACGTATCTGGTGCTTCCTTGTACCAATATTTATGTATTTAAATAAATAAATAAATAAATAAAATCGAGCCATACTGGTTGGAATAATCATTAATCCAAGGTCCTACCATGCCAGGCAGATCAATTGAAAGCGATAAGACTAAAAGTAGCAAACCCAAAGGAAGGCGAAGTCGGACTGCTGACTGTAAAGAGTTGTGACAGCAGTAAGGTGTTTCCTTCAGATAACAAGCGTTACAGCAATGCTGCTTTCCCACAAGGTGTGGGGTTGGAAAAGGTCGACCCTAGAAATGCACACCTTGCCTTAACCTACGGATATCCGTCTCCAGCAGTAAGGTCTCAACAAATAGCGAGCTAACACGAAAATTACCCACAAAAAGATCTTGTGTGACCGACCTCAAGCACTGTAGTCACGCTCCCAGGTCACTAAGACAACTTCTAATTCAGTTTCCTTTTCAGGTACCTCCAGGAAAACCCTTTCACGGTATGAGCAACCGGGAAGTGATAACTGCCCTCATACCTCTAACAGCATTCTAAGATCACTGTATTTATAATCAATCTACCACTTCGATTCCTATTATTCCTCCATCGACTTTCAACACTAAACTTCCTCCTCAAGTGTCACTACAACCAACAATTCTAGTACACGAAACACTGTCTCCGGTCTACTGAAACCAAGATCCAAACTACACATTGGAAACTTCAACGTATGTGTGTGTGACAAAGACCAAAGTCTTACATTGAGCAAATGAACAAATTTACATTTTATCAATTGATGAGACGTTATAATAAATTGCAATGAGGATATTCTTTTAAAATAATAAAAACAACTAACACACATACTTGTTGGATCGCTTCCATTATTGCTTGTTGCACGGTTTCTTCCATCCCCATAATTGTTTGAATATAAGTTTGTTTATTATCACAATTTACAGCGCACGCAAGTATTAATTGTAATAAACGAAATGTTGACTCTTCATTTTCATGTTCAGCTTGAAAAAACCACACAAAATTATGTCATTACCAACAAGATTGCTGGAACAACTACGAAAAAATTGACTTACTTCAATCACACTACTAACTACATGAATCAGTAGTATAATGGTTCTCCAATATTAATATCCAACTTAACTTCAGTGTCATCGCGACCACACGACCGAAAAACTTTGCAGCAAACTCTTAACTACTTATGAGTAACATGATCAAGATACAACACAATAAAATTGTTATGGCCACATAAACAGATATGAGAGTTCCTCAGCCTCACAGGTGAGATTGAACCCATCGGTCTTCAACGTATGTTTTTTCCAAGTCTAATACTTCTCAAGACATTGAATCATTTTCCAAGTAGGAACAATGCGGTTTGCAAAATAAAATGAATTCATCTATTTCTGCAAACCTTGTCATTCTATCTAAATTGATCAAGGGATCTAGTTGTACGATTGTTATCCGAGTGTTCCGTTGTTCCGTGTGGAGTCAACCAAAATGGTAACGAGTTACAGATCAATGATGTAACAAAACTGAGTGAAATTGAAAATGTACTATGCAATATTATATTACAGTCAACGGAATGTAAATGTTTTCATTCCATGTAAGTATATATGAACATACTCCACAGATACAAATCTTTACAATATAGGGGTACATTGATTATCAATGCATCACACACCATCCCAATGTTAAATCGAAATTTGTAGTTCATGTGAACTATCTTGGTGCAGTTTCGTTCTCTGAACAGTGTGAATGTAATCGTGAAAATTTCATTATCCTTCTGAACAACGTCATGGACAGCTCGAACGTTATGACACTGTTATCCTATCTTTCTACTAGTTTCTACTTGGATATGCAGAAAGTGAAGTTGTCTCGAACTAGTTAACGACTTAATGTACTACATAACTTTGTATGTTGGAGACTACATCGCGTATGTTCGACTTGTGAATCATAGGCATTGAGAGAAGCGAAAAAACAACTACCACATCACTGACTGAGGATCTGATGATTTGTTAGCAAGTGGAAACCATAGCAGAATACTTTATGCCATTCATCTTACTCGAAAATGTAGGAACATTGAGACTATAGCTCACTTCTGTCTGAAGTTTGTGCTGATGATGATTTCGTCTGGAAAGACAATGAGAGGTTCATGATTAAAAGATCCCGATCAGAGAACAAAACTTCACAAAGATTATTTCCTACATATATTGTTGAAAACTATTGTTTGAAAAAAACAGTTTACCGAAGATCATATGATCTTATACACATAAACAGCAGAACATTTGACTTACCAATTTCTTGTAGATTTGGTAAGAATTGAACAGATATCCTATCTTCAATTCCCTGAATTGATATGTTTTAAAAAAAAGGCATATATACGAAAGATGTACAATGTTGAATTATATAAATAGATAAGACGATGAATGACCAATAACTTCATTATTAACTAGTATCCTGTACGAACTCTAACTCTAAATCTCTTCTAGTTGGATCATGATCAAGATTGTGTCACTCACTAATAGCCACTACACATGAATATTATTGCACAAAGTAAAGTTATGTTATTTAACCAGTAAACAATTGTATATAGAAATACCGGAGAGCTGTTAATTTTTAGTGTACATCCACAACCACACCAAGAACCGAACATATGACATTTATACCTCGCACCGAACGTTAAACCGATCATTTGGTTAGTATTTCATAATTTACATTTCTAACTTCAATCATTTGATGATGTTGACCGACTAACTTCCAAAAGTGATCGGCGTGTGAAATGTCTTACATCACACATGGATAATTTATTTGAGGAATAGATACGTTAACTCTAGCTGAATAATCAGTGGTAAGACAGAACTATTGGATAGTTAAAATATATATGATATTATATCATAGAAAGTGTAGAATATTTTGAGCTAGATTGATTTAATTGCGAAGTTCCTATTGTAGTGACCTGGTACTCATTTATCCGTATCACAGGTCGACCTCAATTGTCATATCATTAAAGATCAAGCGGAACACCGGACACCTATTTCCTATGAATATAGGACAACATATCAGGATTGCATATCACATCAAAATTTGACTAGATTGTCTTTGATCATCGTTTCTTACCTGTGGTATAAGCGAAATGTTCATCTACCGAATGAATAGCAGCTTGCACAATAGTCCAATGTGTATAACTATATGTTTGTGAATCGTCGCATACGAAAATAGAAGACTGACTTAGGTTGAAAGTATGTAATCACAGATATGCTCAAAGCATTGCTCGTGTGTTGTCGAATAGATTGAAGTTAGACTTAAGTTACTACGTAAATATGATAAATTGGTTGACGACAACTTGAATCACTTAGCTTCAAAATTTTAAGAGTGTGAAAACCATACCGAAACAGTTGTCTGGTAGCGAACAATTGATTTACAAAATTTCTGTTTAACGCCAGAGTATTACTAAAATGAGATACACTCTATTCACAGACATTATCAACAATAACTGTTTGTTTTAAATGTGATAAAATCAAAAGAAATTAACCAAATTTAACGAACTAACCTCATTTAAAAATTCAATAACAGCTTTCAATATCTTCTTAAGATTACTGACCTTTTGAGACAGAGAGAGAAAGGAGGGAAAAAAGTAGAATAGGGAATATTTGTAGATAAGGATAAAGATATTGGAGATGTTGTATGATTCGCCACCCAACGTTGTACACCACTAATCCCACATGTTGGTTTCTCGAGTGCATAGAACTAATGACAAACTCACCAGTTTCTTCAAGAGTACAAAGGGTTGAATAGACTCGTGTTTGATTAACCCACATGCATTTGACTTTATGCTGGACTGCATGTACACTGACTTAATGGTATATATCCTAGACTTCAAGGTTCACTATCAATTTTATGCACTCGAAAAACCAATGTGTGGGATTATTGGTGTATAACTTTACGTGGTGGATCGCCGGGCTTGCAAATTGATAAAGAGTTAAGCCAACTGAGTGAATTATTGTGAACTGCATGCTGCTTGAACATTGGGATCTGAACTGCACACTCCGACTACGCAATATACTGCGGCAGCACATGGCCGAGAGTTGATTCTTTATCTGTCATAAAGCATGTCAAGTTGTGCATCAGTCAAGTGTCTGTTGGCCTATACAGCCGCATATCAACTGTAGTTGCTGGTCAAAGGCTCCATTCCAATAGTCCAGTCACAGGCCAATCCGGTCTAAATAAATGGCTTGAGACGTTGTAATGGGTTGTGTTCGTATCTTGGCTTACACAACTGAACCATTAAGTCCAGAGAACACAACATCTCGAAATATTTCCAATTTGTTGCAAAGGATAATCGACATTTTCAACAAGGAAATATTTTTGAATTTACACTATAGACCGTTCTTAGCTCGATAACCATCGAGAATCAAGAAGCACAAGATAGCTGCTACATTCTAATATAAGACGTCACAGCAATGAACATCCACGAGCCAACCAGGCATCAAGTACAGGACCTTTAGTACTCAAGGCGAGCTCTCAGCTGTCAGATTACTGAGTTATCATTTGGTGCTTTATATTACTGACTTCAACCAATTTGTGATGTTGCGTAGCTATCATGTTTCGACATTGGTGTGCAACAACCTAACACCTGACGTGATTGAACTTCGCTGGTCTATACTTGTCATTAGAATTACGAGAACTATCTCTCAAAGTTAGCCATCAATAAGCAAATGATGACAATTTGGCATAAGGATTCGTGGAGATCGTTGAGTTTTATAGGTCTATAATATCATGGACAGACCTTATCAAGATAACCATTAAAACGATTCAGGTTTTCAGGCCAAATTAGTGCAGTGAGATAAAATTATCTTAAATTAGGTGTTCTTAATGGTTGTTAAAAATGTGTGAGCGATCCCCACATCGTGAAAGAATCCTTCAAGTACATGAAAAGAAAACTGGATTAGGAGTGGTCTTACAGAACTCGAAGGGTGACCTCAGAACTCAAGGGATAACAGCTTAAGGCTGATTATATACATACTTGTTGTGAGTATATCTTAACACTTGCAAGGTATATTTTTGTTAGAGGAGGCCTTCTCCAACCTGATCTTTTCGCTATGAGAAGGCACTATCATTGCAGATTATGATTGTCTGAGGGAAACACCTTACTACCGTTACATCCCAGTACAATCAGCAGTACGACGTTGAACTCACACATAAAGTTGTTGCTTTCAGTCTTAACGTTTTTCAACCGACCTCTGAGTAGCACTGTAGGATATACAGGAACAAGTATTCAATCCAGTTACAGCTTTGCCAGGTCATCACAATACTCAAGTTTAACCACCACTTGGCAAGGTAGCATCGACTACAACCGAGTCAAACGTATGATAATAAATATATGAAAGTATATACACACATTCACAAGAAATACATGAATTACCTTCAGTCTCCAGTTGATCTCAGCATCATAATTTAGTGTTTGCAACCATTCATCAGTGAAATGATTTGGAGCACTGAAATGAAACATTGAAAATGTAACAAAAATGCGGGACAATTTTAAATTTCTACAACCGTAAGAACGAGACATCATTTGTAAAAACATTAAGAAATACTGTCATTGATCAACCGATTAAAATTAATTGATTAATGAGTAACGGCCGTTTGATATTTGTCCAATCCTTAGCGATGGTCAAACTCTATCAATCAAGATGCGATGTTATATTATTATTATTTAAACACATAAATATTGGTACAAGGAAGCACCAGATAAATATGCACCTCACAAATCTCATTTGATTTATGTGAGGGCTGTGATACTGCCCAGGTGCCCAGACTGAAGCAGGTGGTTTTCTTAGGGGGCCACACCTGGAGCCTTTGACCTAAAGGTCTTATCCACAAGGCAGTGGAGCATCGTAAGGAGACGCAGTGCTATTGTAGCCGGTGACCAACAATAAGTTTATACGCCATTCGTTCCATCAGGATCCTGAAGCTCATGTGCACCATTGGTTTGGAATCAGGGTTTTCCAACTCCCCTAGGTGGATCCTCCACATCCACCAACTCGGTTAAAGCGCCAGACATTCGCTTTTCGTCCTCTCAATTTCGTAAACAACAACCCATCACGAGAAGGCAGTGAATAGGACTTCCCTGGTAGAGGCTATATACGCGTGGCCATGTGAGAGATTTGGAGAGGGAGGGCGGACTCCCCCCACTCTCGGCCGTACCAGGGCATTTAGAGGCGATGTAGTCACTAACCTAAATCACTCGGCTTCGTGTGCGTTATATTTTGATGTTAGACAATTTAAGATAGTTGGCGGAAAGCCCTGTTTGGTCAACATTTCGCGCCAGCTAGTGTTCATCGGCAAAATATACTTGTCACTTCGTACAAACTGGTGACAGTTGTGTGACTTTAACACGAGTCATCCAGTTTTACAGTGAGACGTACTTGCATAGCTGTCCTGATGTTAATTCCAGTCTCGAACATCTGGAAAGTATAAACCATTACGAGTAAATTCACACTCGTTCCACAAGCTAGTGGCTATCTAAAGTCAGCAGGTTAGTGCTTTCAAAGTATTAGGCACTAAACTTTACTCTAACTAGGAACACTAATACTTGAAAATCAGGTTGGGGACACATCTGAAGTGTGAGGGTTAATGATACTACCTCAATGACCATACCGATGAATGAATATCCCAGGTCTACCACTATCCACAATCTAAATATAGCATAACTATCAATTACACAACATTTTACAAGTCATTCTTTAATTTAATCCGTATTTTATAAAAACCCGAACAAATAACATGGATATACTGCTGTATAAATTATGTTAATTTTGATTGTAACGTTTTACATTCACATAGTTACATACACACACATATATACACTCAGTACGTAACTATGGTAATTCTAGATTATTTGAAGACATGATAGCATTAACTGCAAGTTCATTCGTAATAAATAATGAATGTGATCTGAATATCAAATTGATACTTTTAATGACTTAATTATAATGTCGATAATGCTATATGCGTAATACATTTCGAACAATCTGACCATACATATACTTGTTAAAGTGCACAAAAACAATGTGATAATCACTATGGATAATAAATCAGTAATACCACAGTAGGTTAAGAATAAGAACACATACAGGGGGTATCAATTTTCATATAGCCAAGTCTTCAATAAACCTTAGTATACGTCCTTGAAGGCTTTTGTGCAACACTACAAATGTTGACCCGATGTCAACCTTATGACCAATCTCAACTAAATGTTTCGCAATGGAGGAAGATGTTTGTCTATCATGTGATCGTATTTGTCTCTGCGGCCATTTGGGCATGTGTTCCGCCACCCTTAATTGAAGATCACGACTTCTCCTCCCTATGTATGTTTTTTTCCGCACATACATGTAAATTGATAGATACAATGGGACAAATGAATCATACTCTTTAGTGACTTTAGAATGAATAGTTGAGCTTTTGCCTCAACCAATGCAAATACAGTGGATAGGTTTGGTAGATAAATTGACAGAAGACGATAGAGAATCGACATTCGCCGAGCTCACATCACATGCCCAAGTCGCTAGTACCGAATTCGGACAGTTGGAGAACCGTCCAAAAAAGAGATACGACGTGAAGAAGATTTGTCACTTGCAGTCTGGTCAGCGCAACAGTTCGGCCGTAAAGACTGAATGCAGTATGTGTATGTATGCCCCCAAATGCCCTGGTACGGCCGAGAGTGGAGAGAGTCCGCCCTCCCTCTCCAAATGCTCTCACATGGCCACGTGAATATATAGCCTCTGACAGAGAAGTCCTACTCACTGCCTTCTCGTAGCGGGGGTGTTGTTTACGAAATTGAGAGGACGAAAAGAGAATGTCTGGCGCTTTAACCGGGTTGGTGGATGTGGAGGATCCACCTAGGGGAGTTGGAAAACCCTGATTCCAAACCAATGGTGCACATGGGCTGGCCCCAGTATCCTGAGGAAACAAATGGCGTAAGAACCAATTGTTGGTCACCGGCTACCATGGAAATGCATCTCCTCACGATGCTCCACTGCCTTGTGGATAAGACCTTTAGGTCAAAGGCTCCGGGTGTGGCCCCGTAAGAAAACCACCTGCTTCAGTCTGGGCACCTGGGCAGTATCTCAGCCTTCACACAAATCAAATGAGATTTGTGAGGCGCATATTTATCTGGTTTTTTTTGTACCAATATTTATGTGTTTAAATAAATAAAATAATAGTATGTGTTCTAATGACCGTGCCATTTATCAATGCCCACGTTTTTTAGCGTTGATAACTGAAGATCGGTGGTCTCAAGCAAAGGTCAAGAGCATTTGCTTTATACGTCCCAGGCAAAGACATAGAGCTAGTGAATGCAGACTGACAAGGCGTTGTAACGTTGATAGGTGTTCAAAGAGAAATCATTGTCTCTTAATTAGTGATTCACCAGTCAACAGCTCGAATGATAAATTTGGCACAGAGAATTGTTGTTGATTTACCAAGTCTCTAAGAAGTCAGGTGTGTTTGGGAATGATTCCCGTACGATAAAGATCGGGAGACGCTGAAATTGTCTGCTATGCTCTTTTGAATAATGGGTAAAGTCAGACTGCTTGGGATTGCTCGGGTTATTGAAAGATTAAGTATCAGTGATAGCAAAACAACCGAAGTTACAAATGCGCTTTCTGAAGTGTATTATTTAGATCGAACTGAAGGAGTCTTGATCGTGGAAAGTAAACCAGGACATAAGCCGCTGAAATCGAGAATTAACATACTAATTAAGTGGCAGATTAAGTAAATACCTTTGACCTTTGCTTGATACCACCAGTCTTCAACTTTCAACGCTAAAAAACATGGGCATCGACAAATGGAGTGGTCATCAGAACACATACTGATTGTCATAAGAGGATTATTGTTCTTTCACATACACTAAGAAGATCAAGAATCGAGGTCAGTCAGATGGGATTACATCTAGTAGTCATATCCCAGCTAAGATTTCAGTTGATCTAACTGCTAATATTGAACCACCATCCTTTTAAATCTCATGAGTTAGTCCATCAGACCATGCTGCTCCCTCTCCCTCACTTTAGGTTGCTTAAAGCCTCAATCTCACTAAGAGTTGAAGCACTTACATCAATTTCACATCCAGGTTGCATGAAGATAGTGGATTACTGAAGTGTGACTAAATACCAGTTGAACTGTCCCCTAAATTATTCCGTCCATCAGTTCAATTTCCTATACTTCGTGTTAGCTGACGCTTGGAAGCAAGGAATACTTACAATCATAAAGGAACAAGAGCGCCATAAACTCGTATCGCCAAGACCAATAGCTTGAGGCATTACCACTGGAGAATTCTCGGTGTTGTGAATTTGTATATATCATGGATCGTAAGTTTCAAGATGTTCTAGGTATCCGTTATCAATTTGTCTTAATTAGCACAAAACCTGGGTCCAGGGTTTCCTGCCGTCTATCTTCAATCACCTGATATCGCAACATGGTGCACACGATATCAAGTTACATAAATAGAGTAATCAGATTCCGAATTGATCAATGGAATTCAAACAGTACTGAAGGACTAGAAAAACATCAAGTCAGTCACTATTGTGACGAATCAGTTGTACATAAAATAATACTTACATGGTATGCAAAACTTTACCTAATACAATCCCATCCGTAACATTATGTATAGAATAAACATTTGTTGCTATGTTGAAAGTTCTCAACTAGAAAAAAAAAGTTTTAAAAAATTACACAATACAATACAAAAAGAATATACCCATTCAAAGAGATTTTCAATTGGGAAATTTAAAGACATTCGTAAATATGAAGCAAGAATGTCGATGTTATTGATAGATATTTAGCAAGCGACTGAAATCCAATAACTTGTTTGAAAGAAACGAATAACCTACAATACAGAAAAATGTAGTAAGAATTGTAAAAATCAGTACAAAATGGTTTGTGGAAATTACTGAATTTGTAGTCTATATCACAAGAGGACTTTGCCTACATAATGGCGTTTTATCGATAACGCCCCAAAATGCCCTAGTGCGGCCGAGAATGGAGAGTCCGCCCTCCCTCTCCAAATCTCTCACATGGCCACGCGTATATAGCCTCTACCAGGGAATTCCTACTCACTGCCTTCTCGTAGCGGGGGTGTTGTTTACGAAATTGAGAGGACGAAAAGAGAATGTCTGGCGCTTTAACCGGGTTGGTGGATGTGGAGGATCCACCTAGGGGAGTTGGAAAACCCTGATTCCAAACCAATGGTGCACATGGGCTGGCCCCAGTATCCTGAGGAAACAAATGGCGTAAGAACCAATTGTTGGTCACCGGCTACCATCGGACTGCATCTCCTCACGATGCTCCACTGCCTTGTGGATAAGACTTTTAGGTCAAAGGCTCGGGGTGTGGCCTCCTAAGAAAACCACCTGCTTCAGTCTGGGCACCTGGGCAGTATCACAGCCTTCACACAAATCAAATGAGATTTGTCAGACGCATATTTATCTGGTGCTTTCTTGTACCAATACTTATGTGTTTAAATAAATAAATAAATAAAACCGAGGGACTGCATCTCATAACGTTGTTCCACTGCCATGTGGATTAGACCTCTAGGTCAAAAGTCCACGGGGTGGCTTCCTAAGGAAACCACCTGCTTCGGTTTGGGTGCTTGAGCAGTTACCCGGCCCTCACACAAATCAAATTATTTGCGTGGCGCATGTATATTTAGAGTCTCCTTGTACCAATGCTTGCGTTTAAATAAATAAACAATGAGTACAGTATCAGATACACTACAAATATTAATGTTGAGGCTTGGTATGAACATAGACAATTCTATCTGTTGTCCGATTTATACTAGTGTGCGAACGATGAAGGCTAGCTTGAATGACATACGCGATTTCAGAAAGACTGGTTCAGATTCGTACTCACTGGTAGCATTTAGTTTTAGACCAGTCAGTAACTTGAGATCGTTTAGATAGGACAGCATTATCACCATAGGCAAGCTGATTTCTAGGTCATCAAAGTCGATGTTTCGAGATAGTGACACTAATTCATTTATCATCACTGTGCCCGATAACGGTGACCGTCTACTACAACTTTGCGCAGACTACAACGTGTTTCTGGCCAGTACAGTCATTGCCAATGTGCTAACTGGCGTCCTCCTTCTGCATCTCATGTCAGGTCCCAGCCTGATCAAATCACGATGAGCTACCACTGGTGTGGTTGTGTATAATAGGGCCGCTCCTATTCGAATACTTATCTGGACTCTGATACCGCCTCTATTCGAGCTAATTTTATAGTTTCAGTGACCAACAAATTCATCATCCTAAACGGATTGATGTCAACCGACTGGTTTCAGTTTCTGTGAAACTAAATATCACACCGAGAAACTCTTAAAGCTAGTCATCAACCCATCGGAAATCACAGATGACCATTGGTTGCAATCGCATGACGCCATGAAGATGGTGATTAAAGTCGCTTTCGGCTTCGCGAAACGTCCCACTTACAGCACTGAGTTTCTACAAGCTCCTTACAACTTGTTGAAGCACATCGGTCTAATACGTCAATGATGGTGTGAATCTGTTCCCTGGAGAAAGACTTCTGGACCTTGAGTATGCGATTGATATTGTCTTACTGTGCGATGATAATCAACCCATGCAATCCGCACTTAATCAGTTAGCAGTCAGTGTTCATAGGTACGGCATATGCTTTGCACCTTGAGACTTAAGGAACAGGTGTTGAAGACCTGAGCTAAAATTATGTGATGAGGTGGACATCATTTACATAGGCTTTACCCGGATTACCGCTTGCTTGTTCTGAGTAGAATTCATTACACGATTCTGTCGAATGCCATTCTATATTCCAATAGATTGTTCCCCACCAGTGTCCTTAAGAAGAGTCAGAAAATTTTGCAAACAAAAAATTTTCCCTCGATTTCTTATGTAAAGGACAACGAAATTGTTGTCCACTGTTCTTTTATCGTCTATAGCTGGTGAGGACGGAGATGAAGAACCTGGTGAATCAGAATGTGAATTCGCTTATCCAAGTGTTAAAAAATGAAGATTACATACTGAAAGAATTTCTGTTCCCTGTATATGATATGAGATACTCACTCAGCTGTTGTAGCCTCAGTACTTTCATGGTGAAAAACTATGTAAGAAAAAATCCAGAAGTTATCGGGAACTTCGCCAGATCTGGGGGAATTTTAGGTTTTTTGCCATTTCAATAAGATTTCCCGAAAACGGATAACATTTTCCCTCCATAAGTCTAAAAGGTTGTACGAAGAAACAATTGCTAAAGAATCTATAGAATGTCCTAAACGCTTGTATTCGTATGTAAACCAGAGGACAAAAAGAAGAGGTAATATTCCAGCACTACGGGGAGACAGTAATGCTTTATCATTATCAGAGATCGACTATGGTGAAGCTCAATTATTCTCAAACTACTTTAGCAATGTATATACCGTAAAAACACCCTTTCCGTCATTCCATACTAATCCACCTACACACACTGGACGTCACCAATAAAGAACTAGATGTCTTTGGTCTGCTAAATAAGCATGATATAGACAAATCCACGGGACCCGATGAAGTGCATCCTAGGCTACTAAAGGAACTAGCTAACTTTGTTGCGAACCGTTTAAGTACATGCTTTAATCTATACATAACCCAGGGTTGTTTACCAAAAGACCGGAAGAACGCCATAGTAAGTCTTGTCGTCAAAACAGGCACGAAACATAAACCTGAGAATTACCGACCCGTTAGCCTGACTAGCGTGGTTAAAATTTTAGAAAAGATCATTCGGAAGGAGCTGTTTAAATCTCTCAACCCGTCACAACGTAGAACTTCGTACGTAAGCACAACAGTTCGAGTTGCCATACCACATTAGCACAGAGATGCAGTTGTCGATTCAAATCCCATAGTGGTATAGGCTTTAAAAGTACAAGCAGTAATCGGAAAGATTAGGGTTTGAGCATGTTATTCAAGGAGTATAATCCAGTGAAATAAAATTAGAAAGAGAAAAAAAGATAGGGACATGGAGAATTCAGAATATTAGAATTTGGGAGAACACAAAGAGTGGATGCACTTTCGCCATTGCAAACGATTTTGAGCCATGTCATTCAAGGTCTCTAACCATCGATTGCTATCATTTCGCAGATCCCAACCAGGTAATCTACACCTACCAGCATGGATCAGTCCACTTGTCAGTGACTTCGTGGATTTGTACCACGTTTTGATTTGGCCACACCTAGCTTTCTTCCAACCTACTCCTACGCCCCCGAATGCCCTGGTACGGCCGAGAGTGGAGAGTCCGCCCTCCCTCTCCAAATGTTCTCACATGGTCACGCGTATATAGCCTCTCTCAGGGAATTCCTACTCACTGCCTTCTCGTGGCGGGGGTGTTGTTTACGAAATTGAGAGCACAAAAAGCGAATGTCTGGCGCTTTAACCGGGTTGGTGGATGTGGAGGATCCACCTAGGGGAGTTGGAAAACCCTGATTCCAAACCAATGGTGCACATGGACTCCAGCATCCTGAAGGAACAAATGGCGTACGAATCAATCGTTGATCACCGGCTACCATGGAAATGCATCTCCTTACGATGCTCCACTGTCTTGTGGATCAGATCTTTAGGTCAAAGGCTCCGGGTGTGGCCCCGTAAGAAAACCACCTGCTTCAGTCTGGGCACCTGGGCAGTATCACAGCCCTCAAGCAAATCAAATGAGATTTGTGAGACGCATATTTATCTGGTGCTTTCTTGTATCAATATTTATGTGTTTAAATAAATAAACAAATAAAACCTACTCCTACACCTTCAAACATCGCACGTCGGGACAGTCGGTGGTTGGGCATACATAACACGTGCCCCAGACATCTCAAATAAAGTCTCACTACTTCACCAATCGATTTGCCATCCCTACCTAGTACCCGTTTCCCAACAACTGCATTACTTACTCGACGGTCCCAGAATATAACAGCAGTGATTCGAAGGTTTAAATATTTATACGTTTAAATATCTCAATAAAAACCGGATCCTTTCAGAAAAGCAGCATGGCTTTAGAACAGGTTTTTCCTGTTTCACTAACTTACTAGTTGCTCGTGAAGTCTGGTGCGCTCTTAAAGACCAAAAGTTACCTAACGAAGTAGCCTACATTGACTTCAGCAAAGCTTTTGAAAAGGTTCCTCACAACCGGCTGTTATATAAGTTAAGAAATGCTGGGGTTGGAGGCAATCTATTGGTGTGTATAAAAGACTTTCTAGTTGGGCGTCAATAATGAGTAAGCGTGAATTCCAACTTGTCTAGATGCGAGACTGTGTTTGGCGGAGTGTCACAGAGAATAGTTTTAAGGCCAGTTACTCCTCCTATATGTAAATGACCTTACTCGTCTGCTGTTATGATCGATCTTGCTATTTGCTGACGATGTCAAGATATGGAGGGCGATATAAAGTAAGGGTTATTTATTATATTTGAACACATAAGGGTAATAGCTTAGAACTTCAAAATGACGTGGAGAAAATATCTGAATGGTCTCAAACCCGACAGTTGACGATAAATACTTTCATGTATATTGTGATGCATACTGGTCATCAAGGTACAGATACATACATGATAAACAACAATGAGCTACCTGTTGTCCAGACACACGATGACTTGGGAATCGTCATTGGCGAAGAATTAAAGACTACTGCATACTGCCATGAGATGACCGCTAAAGGTTTAAGAACATTATGGTCAACACGTAGAGACTTTAGTGATGTCGACGCTAAAACTTTTCTGACTTTGTATACAGTATTCGTACGTCCTAAACTTGAGTACT